TGCACAGCGCGGTGATGAACGCATCTCTTGGCGTGCTCATCTTGAGATGCCCACACATGTTGGCGTACGACTCTTGGGCTTTCAGAATCATCTCAGAAGCACTTTCATCAGTGCTGTAGAAATTAGGAATCAGAGCTAAATATGGATAAAATTCTAGGGATGACCAAAATTACATGCAACAAAGACTGTTCTTTTACAAGAATGGAAGAAAAGTACAAGAAGGCAGCAGATCAGGGCAGAATTTTGGAGCAAGGCCAAGAGACTTTGTTGATTTTTGTAGACTTTAAAGTGACAGAGCACATAGTTCCTGTCAGTCTTTGGGGTGTTCTTTTTTAAACTGGTGGACTGCCCTGAGAGAGCAAGCCCCATGGGCTGCCCTGAGAGAGCAAGCCCCATACAGTCTGTTCAGGAGAAATTAGAGGTTGTCTCAAAATGTATTTTACAGCATAAATTTGGATATAACTTTTTACCCAGCCTTCTACCCCATGTTAAGCAATACAAATAAAAACTGTTCCCATAGATCAATCCATCCATTTGCGAGGTAGCAGTAGACCAGAATGAAACTACATGTATTAAGCTGGGAGCAATATATTCCATTCCAAAGGGAAAAAAATAAACACATTAAGGGGAACAGAAAGGAAAAGTCAGAACAACTATTGAAAGTTTGTTTATAGTTTCTTACATTGAAAAAAAGTCATGATTTTTCCTCAGGCTTACCTTCTGTGATGACATTTTCTATAGAATTCACCATTAAGAAATGTTTCAGATAGTTATGAAAATGTAAAAACATTAATTATCTGCAAAAGCATCAGGTTTAAAAACTCATTTATGTCAGAAAAATGATTTTGTTTCTAAGTGCTTGGGCTTGGTTTTTTATGCTACCCCTAATCAGAGCACTTTATTTTGAAAGTATAGACAGCTATCATGGCATTCCCCGGCCACAACTTTATCCTGTATATCGTACCCTCCTGATGCAGCATGGGAATAAATGTCCCGGCTATAGACAGCGAAAGATCTTGTCAGTTTGTTAGTGTTTGAGCGCTTACTCAGCTGCTCGCACTGTATGCTTCCCGGGAAGCTGAGAATGTTTCGGAGTGTTCTATGGTCTGCTGGGGTAATAATATAGTGTAAAGCACATAGAGCCTGCTGTTGAGCGGGGATATGCGCTATACAAATGCTATCTATTATTATTATTATGTCCGCAAACTAGTACGAAGGCTCTACTTCTTTACAACCTGTCTTTTTGTGAAACATACTCCAGGCTTGCAGGTTTTCAAAACAAAATTAGGGACATCAAATTATGTAACAAAAAATTTAACGTCAAGGGGGTTTGATTTTCATGTTGTGTCAAAACTAAAATGTCCTTCAAGTACTCAATTTTCAAATTCGGGACAGTCCTGAGAAAATCAGGATTGTTGGCAAACTTTCATATCTTTAGAATCAACCAAGATGAGGGAAGTAACAAATACGTGAGCCAAATACATGAAAACTTCAAGTCAACAGCAGCAACGCTGTGACAGCTTAAGGTAAAACGGCGCAGTTCTGCAAGTACTGTCATAAATAGCTTGGATACATGATTAAACATATGTGTCAAAGAGATGTAAATATCAAGCGATGTGCGAGTATGTTTGTGTATGTGTGTGTGTGTGCGTGTGTGTGTGAATGTGTGTGTGTGTGTGTGTGTGTGCGAATGTGTGTGTGTGTGTGTGTGTGTGTGTGTGTGTGTGTGAGTGCATGAGAGTATGAGCATGAACAAGATCATATGTGAGAGGTTGAGTGGTGGGGCGGACAAAGGCATTGTATTGAGCATATTTCTGATTATTGATATGTTACCACTTATTGTATGTTGAGCAAAAGTCTGGATGACAATGTTTTTGTATGTGTAGTACATAGCTTTTTTATCTCTATATAGATATTTTGGCACTTAGAATACATAGCCTGTCTGTTGATATACAAATATATCGATACATATACATATATGTGCTTATGTAAGGATACATGAAGCAGTAAAACTAGAAAACTTTTACACATTGAACATGCAACAGCACAAGAAGTGAATTAGTAAATTATCTATGACATTGCCAAATGGAGTATATAAAATAAAATCGCAGATTTTTCTTTTATCAAAAATCTATCTTTCTATCCAACATCAGACTTGAGATACTTTATGCAGTTGCGTACCCAGTAAAACACTTGCCAAAAAAAAAGGAAAAAAAGAAGACTTGAAATATATGTCAGTACAGACATCACATCATTCCCCCATGACAAAATGAGACACCAAGAGAGACAACCCTGAATACCATATTCAACAAGCTATCTTCCCCAAAGAATGTTGAGAACCACTTAACATATAGAGCTTTGTGAAATTTCCCCTGTATCAAAACGCATCCATTACCCATGACCTCATACCGAAGAAACATTTCCGTGGAGATTGTAAAAAACTCATTCTAAAGATCATAAATCGTTGGGAAAAATGTTGCAATATTTAAAAATTGCACAGGGAAATTAAAATGACTTATTAAAAAAAGAAAAAAGAAGATGTGTAAAATATTTCTGGGAATACACTGGAATTTTTTCAAATATAAAGTTCAAAGGCAAGAGTCACACACTGAAGCAGAATACGCAAAAAAGACACAGGAGAGAGATAACCTAAGGATGTATTAAAGAAAGAAAGAAAGAGCACAAAAAGTAGTATACATTAATACAAAAAGATAAATATGTTAATGAAACAACATCTATAAAGAAAACGATTTATAAAACAAAAATATGGTGGTGACAATCTAAAATAAGGTGCAAATGAAAAATAAATGAACAAATTAAACCAAAATAAACGGCATAATTAAGATGAATACTGAAAAAAAAAAGAAAATTAAGAACACTTCTGAATGAAACTCTTCAAATGAAATTCAAGAAGATATTTCTTAAAATAAGCACAATCACATCAGTGAAACAATACTCTGAAACAGATACACACAAACAGCTTCTTTGCGTAACTCTTTCCTTGCCTGAAGCCACGTGTCAGTAAAAGATCAAATTCGTTTGCCTACCGCTGTAACTATGTGCTTGATACAGTTTAGCACAGAAAGAGTTAATGAGAGACACTGCTGTCATGCAAAGTCAGCGTTTGTAAACTGTCACTCTAAGAAACAACATGGAAAGCCTAGCCAGACAACTTTTCTTTAGTACAGATTAACACTGGTTAATAAATACTCGACTAATTAGAATTTGGAATGGGTGCATATTGAGACATCAAAAAAATGTAAAAAGCTTCCTTTGACGCTCATTTCAAGTGCTTCAGAGAAACGATTTGGTCAAAACTTTCCTTACATACCTAGACAAGCCAGCATAAGTCTCATAACTATTCACACAAGAAAAGAAAAAAGTAGAATGAGGTAACTTTCTGGACAGCAAGTAATACCAGAACTGAATTCCTAACTTTACATCCACATACATAAGGTGCTCGATTCCAAAATATACTCAGTGCATACATCTTTTGCACAGGCGAATTCAGAAATTAAGAAGCAATTTGAGCACTGGCTATAAATAAAAGTATATAGGTTAAATCCAGTACCTGAGCAATTGAATATTCATAATATATGTAAAGAAGCAACTAAAAGAAATGTGTTCCTAAATTACTGACGTATCTTCAATATTGTCTCTAATATACATAAAATGATAGATGGAAAAGAGTTTATAGCGTACAAACAAAGTCAAGATACATATAAGAGTCACAAATGTAACGCCTGCGCTTAAAGTTTTGCCTCATCTAAATTATCATAATTTGAGAAAGCATAAAGAAATATTAAAGTAATCCTATTTCTTCAGTACAAGAAAATGTGTCAACAAACACACACTCCAAGTTTGTCACACAAGATCAACACAGAAGGGAAACTACAAAGATAAAAGGTACAAAATCCAGCAACCTATCCGCCATCCAAACGCCATACAGTCGTTTGGGATTTTTAAATAACAGGAAGGAAATGTACACTGCAAACCCACTAACTTTACTCACTAGGTTTATCTGAATAGTTCACCTTTTCTAGCTAATAAATTGAAATAGTAAGCTATATAATAGCCTGGAGACAGGAAACGTGCCCAACCCCATTAACATTACAGGAGAAGCTATAAGGGCCGACAGAGAAACTGAGCTGGCCGACTCAGTATATGACAGACACACAACTTCAAAAGTGGTTCAATCGAGAAGTAGAAGAGGAACTATAAAATAAGGCAACAAAAATAATACGTATGGGCGTGAGTATTCAAGAATAACTCAAAATTATTTCTACAGAAGCTGTATTTTCACGAAAGAGGGAGTTTTAGAGACTTCTGATAGTTCAAGACCCAGGCTGTCCTCAACTAAAGAATTACAACTACTTGTCACCTAAAAGCAACAATCAGTTTTTGTTTTTCCTATTTGAAAAAAATTGGAAATTGGAAATGTCTGACTACAGTTATGAGAGGATACTATATTGTGTATCATACTGAAAGAAGAAAGACAAAACTACTACTTTTACCCATTAAATAAAGCTATGGACTATCTGTACACAAAGTAAATATCTGCGATCTTCCCAAACAAAGACACCTTCACTAGATACCAACTAAAAAGACCACTATGGGGAGGGTACACCTTCTACCAAGTGGAATGCTACATTTCAAGCATATTTAGGTTCCCGTAAGACTACCTTGCATCCAGAAGCAGAGAGAGCGCGGCCAGCATGCCGCACCAGGAAGAGTTGATCAGCTCTACATGCAGCTGTTTGTCTTCCTCACCTGGGGTGGGGGGAAAAGTGGACGGGTAAATCAAAATTATGCCTAAATTCACTAACAAATAGTCTGCATAAATATGACAAACAAAAAAGAACATCAAATATTAACAAAGAAGAAGAAAAAAAAGGCAAAGCAACAATTAAATTATTTTTTATTAACTTTGTAAAGTAAATCAACTGATTTTCCATGTTAAAAAGAACAAAGGAAAAATGACGGAAATATATCGCCTCAAATTCATTACACCAATCACCCTCTTTCCCTTACTCTATAGCACTTTGCCGCCTCATCTCGACGATTGGCAATGTCTACCTCCCAGTTTCTTTGGATTTTCCCCAAAATATAATGGCAAAGTGTTAACAAGACCTAAACTCAGTTTTAAATACCAATTTTCACATTAGACCCTAAAAACACCTTGGTAAGAAAGGCAAACAAAATACACTTCCCCTCTAATATTCAACTTGAGTGCCAAACACTCCTAACAGGAAGGAGAAACCATTAACCACACACTTTATCAGTGTTAAGAAACAGAAACAAACTACTTACTAGACTCAGTCACGTCCACTTCTTTCTTCACCCTGCTGACCGCCGGGTCCCCTACCCCCTCTTCCGACTCTCCCATGACCAGCATCTGCACCGTGCGGGTCATCTCCATAAGGCAGCGGAAGGCCAAGGACACGCCGTAGCCGTCGGGGACGTTTGGAGGTTCAGACTTGTCCAGGACCTCCAGGCTGTGGGGGGGAAACAAGAGTCCAGAATATTACTTTGCTCTGAAGGTTCTTTGTGTTACATCATAGGATGAACAATGAACAAGATTGCTGGAATGTCTTAATGTTGATATATAGCAAAAGACTTATATAAGGGAGGAAGAAGAGACAGACAGACAAGCAGACAGATAGACAGGCAGGAGAGTGGGGGTTATCGAAAGCAAGCAAAAAACGGATCAAACATTTGTGGACTGAAAGCTTATATCAGAAACAAATCAAATGCCCACTGTCAACTTTCAACTACAACCTTATCACACATGGTCAGAAGGGAGAAACTTACAAGCCAGCTTTGGACTGTCCGTGGGGTATGGTGGTGAGGAGCGGGATCCACACTCCGCGATACATAAAGGCGGGCTGCGGGCTGACCCCACCACCCACAGGCATACCACCCACAATAGCCGGTGGGGTACCTTGAGTGTCTGGCAGTTTGGCTGCAATAAGGTCAGAAAAAGGCGTAAAATAGCAATATTGCAAAAGCTTTTTGTGAGACCACAAGAAACATGAATTTCAGTATCTTAAAAAAAAAAAAGAAACAACTTGAGAGGAAGACAATTTATTAGTTTCTAAAACGATCACTGACAGTAAATTAGAGTAGCATGTGAAAGAAATACAAAACTCTTGTCAGACAACATCGGCTGGTCAGAAGCTTAGGCATGATAGAATTTTTACTAGTGGATTTAACATGGCATATCGGCACTAATTGCTATGTTGTGCTCTTTTACTACATGCTGCTGCAAAAAAATTCCAATCTCAATGAACGGTATATTTTTTTCTCACAAACATAGGAGAAGGTAAACTTATGTTAGTCAACGAGACCAGTGGTAATATCAGCTGATAGTATAAGGGGTCAAAAAGTGACTGAGATATTATTCAAGTGACCTGCTTGTGCAGCTGGTCCACCGGGCTGGCTCATGAACTGCGACTGGATGAAGGCACCGAGGGCGTTGATGATGTCGCGGAAAATCTTGGTGGAATGAGGCTTCATGTCGTAGGACTGGCAGAAACTCCTGGATGAACAAAAAGAAGATGACGGCGTAAGAGGTATAAAATTTGCCTGTGTAACAGCAGCCTTAAATGGAGGAGGATGACTCCATTAGTGCCACCTACTGCAGGAAAAAATGCTACACCTAGTGATGCCAACAAGTGAGTAATGGAAGAAGTCACTGCAGACAAAACGTCTTTCCCTCCCTCTGTCAATGCATCTATCTATCTACCTACAGCTTCACTTCTATCTATCATGCTATCTATCAAACAGTTTATCTTTCATCGATGTTGTGAGAAGAAGAGAAGTATACAGGAGACATCAAAATAGAGAGAGTGGGATTCAGGTTTTACTGATAGAAGCAGAGCAAGAGCGTGAGGGTGAGGTCAGATAGAGACGTCAGGCAGAGACAGAGATAGAAAGACTCAAGCATTTAAAGAAACTATTGTCGTAAAACACTAAAGGAGGAGCAAAATCTAATAATAATTTTTCAAAACAATATTACCCTCCACCAGTTCCGTCTACACATAACTAATTCCTAAAATTACTTGATGAGCTCCGGATGCACAGACAGTTTGTGAAGGACCTCCAAGGCCAGACATCTCTGCCACATCGGCTTCTCTGGTTCCAGGAATTTTACCAGCAGTGACAAGAAGATCTCACACTCTGTGACCTGCAAAGAAATATCATCACCTTTACATAACTCTGTAATTAATAGATAAAGGATCCACCATACCTTATAATAAACTATTTGCTATGTCATAGAACTTCACCCTTGAATAGTTGTACAAATAAATTTTACCAGCAGTGACAAGAAGATCTCACACTCTGTGACCTGCAAAGAAATATCATCACCTTTACATAACTCTGTAATTAATAGATAAAGGATCCACCATACCTTATAATAAACTATTTGCTATGTCATAGAACTTCACCCTTGAATAGTTGTACAAATAAAACCCGTAAGAAGAATTCTGAACAATCTAACATATTGGAAACTCGCCTACTGAGCTGTTTCCACGGATAAGCAAACAAGCTTAACAGATTTTTGGGTTGATTTTTTTGGGGGGGAGGAGGGGGCACATGACAACAAAGATAACTGTTTTCAAACCTTTAAAAGATATTACAGTTTTTGCCAAGGGATTGGATCTGAAAATCCAAAAAATATTTTTCTCTATTAAAAAAGGAGGGGAGCAATGGAGCAGTCAGAGAATACAGACTAAAACATCAAAAGTATTTAACAGTAAAGGTGCTGAAAATTGACTTCTTTATCTGTTGACAAGAAGGTGAACAATACATTTTAAAACTCATAAGGCTTCCTTCTTCTACAACAGGGAATTAAGGCCAAGGGTTGATAACAACAACAACAATAACAACAACAATGACAGCAACAACAACAACAACAATTAGATGATCAATAACAAAAATAACAACAACAATAAGACAAACAACAACAACTACAATAATAACAACAACAACTACAAGAACAACAATAACAACTACTAAAATAAGAAAACCAGGTAAATAAAACCACAGACCACATGACTCACAGTCCCACATCTCTACCATACTCACCAGCAGAGGGTAATACCCTCGGATGAGGGCGGCCACAATGCGCAACAGTCTCATGACGATGGGGAAGAAGGGCTTCTCCACAGGGGCAGGGGAGGGAGCAGGGGGAAGGCCCTGGCGGTATTTGAGGCTCGGGGAGAAGAGCTTGATCACCAGCGGGCACACGCGCTCCTTGAGCATGAAGCTGAACTCCTGGTGCTGTCCACGTAGAATTGGGGGGTGGGGGGTGGGGGGGTGACGAAACAAGAAGAAAATGATGATATATTTGTTTATTTGCGTGTTTGCTAATTCATTTGTTTGTCTTTTAGCTTGTCTGTTTGAGATCAGACTCAGCAGGCTGGTAAGAAAACAGTAGTGTCACGAAAGAAAAGAGTTCAATTCCCAAGTAAAAAAGCAGTTTTATTGAGTGCCTCTTTCTTTCTGGTGGGGTGGTGTATCCCACCAGGCCTGGGCCTTTGTAAAAATGAAAGAAATAAGTGAAAGAAAAGACCTCACACTGGAAAAAAAAAACAACCAAGCCAGCAAAAAGATACCAACATGTAATGAAATAGGCATCATTTTAGAGCGAAAACTACTTTGTTATTTGCACATTTGAAAAACTAGTACAAGTAAAGCAGACCAATATGCCTGCAGAGCACCATGTTTCATACTTACAAACTATTTTTCATTCAGAATGGGCTCAAACCTCTACAAACTCATCCAAAACAAATGTTTTACAAGAAAACAAAAAAAAGAAAAGAAAGTTTTAAGTTTTAACAAAAATTCATGATATAGGAGGCGGGATTCTAAATGAAAAGAGCATTCAGATCTCATATTGGACAACACTTCTAGTCCAACATCCAATCAAAGTTGAAAGGTCTGCAGAAAAGTGTGCAGCATCCTTAAGACACCCACCAGAGTAAAAGTGCTGGAGTAACTGGTCAGCACCGACTCCACCAGCTCCAGGCCAAACGTGCGGGTCATCTCTGTCATCCCGGTCAGCCAGAATGGCTGGTCAGCATTCACCAGTTGACACAGATCCTGAGAAAAGACATTCAGATTTTTTAAATTAACTTAAATATCCATTGACTACTAGTATATGCCAACACATTATGGTAAATTAATTGAAAAGGAGCACAACACTACACAACATAAAAAAGGTACACATCTTTTATTTGTCTACAATGCTCATCTGTAAATGAAAGTCAACAAAGACATTGACTTATGTGTATTCAGCTCTGAGAAAAATCGTAAGCTACAAGATAGTTCTTTCATGCATTAGTCTGAAAAGATACCCTTTCTCATCAGGTTTCATTGAGGTAATAAAAACATCCTGGTGCTATATCAATCTGTTACAACAGATAGCTAAGCTCAGGCTCCTTTACACATTTCTAAACCTCAAAACTTATGATCCAAACCTATTAACAAAAACTTGTCATGTTATATTATTTCAAATACAACATACTGCAAAGGCACTTTTTTTAAAATGGCCATACAGATCAAATGAAATGGCTGGTGCTGACTATTGCTTAATAAAATATCAATTTTTTTCAGAGTTTGGTCAACACATTTCAAAGGAAGAATTCAGATCAGCAAAAAACTAAGAAAAGAACATTGATAACGAACCTGAAACAAAAGATAAGCATCTCCTGCACAAGGTCGTAACGACTTCGGTGGAGTTTTGCTCCCGGCTTTCAGCTCTTCCAAATTCAGAGACTCTTTTGGTTCTGGGGAGGGGAGAAAAAAGTGGTCAACAAATAGCAATTCTGTTACGGTCTTTCGTCAGTACAAGTGTGTGTGTGCCTCGAGAAATGTCCCAGTTGCTGGTCAAAATGGTAGTTCCATCGGAAGACACATGTTTAACTATTTCTAAATAACATATTGAAAGGATTTTATAATACTTTAAGTCTAAATATTCTTTCGATAATTATTTTTGCAACATGATGTACTTCACCAAAGGTTTCAAATGTGCTAGAAATTGGGTCAACATACTAAGGTTAAAGCCGTTTTCCTTCACACTTTGTTTCTACTACCCTGTGCTACAAAATACAGCATACCTTTAAAATTGCTCAATGTATTTTTTAAATTAAAAAACCAGCTTGTTCAGTATTGAATTTGCAACAAGAATGTGCCCTTATTTCAATATCCAAAATTTCTGCCAACTGGGACCTTTCTCCAGGCACACACTCAAATTCCCAAAAACAACAACAGTAAATTATTGATGGGGGTGGGGGAAAGAAATTTTCCAGCTACTTCTGAGGAACATCACAAAAATACCCTTGAAATCCTCAGAGGAGGAAGCGCACTCATATGACCTTATGCAGTTGCGAGCGCCATAAAACCCCATACTAAACTAAAAAACTATCAGAGGAGGATTCAACCACCATGCAGAAGAAACCACCCTTATGCAAACAAGAAACAAAAATCATTCTACAACCTGAGATGGAAATCTTGTCCTCAGCAACAACACGCTCAAAGATGGCGGAGACAAGTTGTTTGATGGTGGCTGCGGCGGTGTTGATGGTGGTGCTGTCTTTGGTGAAGTGAAGACGGAAACACAACACAAGAGCCTGCAAACAGAGAAACTGGTCATTCTTCTCCTCCACAGGTTGATAAACAGAAATTTCATTTATAACTTCTTCAACATTCCTCCAGTGAGAAACAACAATACAGAAAAAACCACAAGGTGGAAGTGGGAAGTGATTGTTGTAAAGCGCATAGAGCATGAATATGTGCTTCAAACAGCAATTATTATTATTACTATTCTTAGTGGTCTTTTGTACAGGCGATTGTCATGGACAGGCGATTTACAGCAAGTTACAACTGTACATGAGCAAAAAAACTGAGAAAAGTCCAAGGCAGACTAATTCAATACCTCAATGGGACAAGCTGTGGCTTACCTTGGCAAGAGATTCATGTTGAACGACAGAGTTGATCGTGAGAAGCAAAGTGGCCGTCTGGAGCAGTTTCAGCTCTTCCAGACCGGCCTCCATGAGTCGCCACAGCATTCCGATGATGGAGTCAGCTGCCGTCTGAGATCACACAGTAGATGATGAAAAAAAATCAGACATTTGGAAGCACTACAATAGCTACAAGAAAAAATCTCCAAACACAGACTCAGGATACATTGAATGAACATTGATGGTTGGGGGGGGGGGGGGGAGGACACAAAAAAAGACAGTGGAGGGCACTTTCTTGTTTCCATATACCTATATAAAAACAATTATTTCTCTGCCCATTATTTGTACATCCTTTCGATAGAAAAGCAAACCTCTGAAATTGTTCAGCTCAATCCAATCTCAGTAAGAATAATAAAATATAGTGCGCCCAAAGATTTGGTACCCTGAGCCTCTATTCTTGCATCAGTTTGAAAAAAAGACATCAGTTGCTGTACATCATGTTTCATGCATGTTCTTTGATTCATTTCATTACAACAGGTCTGTCACTGTGGCTAAGAAGACAGAGGTATAAACTTTTTTTTAACATTAACAATATAGACATTAATTCCTATTGTTTTGCTACTACACTGACTTTAAACTACAATATAGACACATAATTCCGTGACTCATTCTCTTTCACTCAACCATAGTTTAAAATTTAGAGCAGTAAATGAAAAATCTTTTTAAAAATACAAAATATTAGACTGCCCTACAAGAAAAATTTCCAAAACCCTGACAAAACTTACAAAATTCTTAAGTCTGCCTACCCTCTTCCACCTCCCACAACTCTAACCATTGCTCTCTATCCAAGTAACACATTAAAAATTTAATTGAAACATTACCACAGAAATAGCTTCATGTGAAATCATCCTCTGTACGGCCACTAGACACAGAGGCAGCAGCTTGGGGTTCTTCGTGTCACAGCCCAAAACAAACGGTTGGATGACATCAGAGCTAATTGGGAGCAGACCTTGGGGGAAACAGAGGTAGACACCAAAGCATGAGCGAAAATTGTTTTTAAAAATCTTCAAAGGGAGAAATTCCACAAAAATATTTGATAACAATTGAGCAAATAATAGATGAGGTTTTTCCAAAGGAAATGTTTTTCAAAAATATTAAATTGCATCTTAGTAAATGATATGTCATCTTAGTAAATGAAATGTGAATTCAATCACTTCTCAATCAGGTCAGTATATATCAGAACAAGAACTGGGACAAATTCAATATCAACATTACCAAATTACCACTATCTCCAACCACTTCTTACATCAAATGGGAACTTAAAAATATGACAAGAAATAAGTCACTGGCTTGAGGGCACTCAGTACATTTCCTACAACCAGTCAAATTTACCTGCTATTATGTCATCTCCTTTCGTTGAGATGGTCCTCAGTTTCAACTGCACTGTCTCAGCACGCTGGGAAAAAAAGTGAGTTTTTTTATCTTTTTTTCAAGTGAATAGTAAATGTATTTAAAGTGTTTCATCCATATCTTATTGGGCATCATTCTTTTCCCAGATTTTAACACTTAGTTTCCTCCTCTAAATTCCCGATGCTGTCACATGAATGAGCTGTGTCGCAAAAAAAAAAATAAACAGCTTCAAATAAAGCTTCGCTTAAAAGATGAAATTGGCAATCACACTTGTCATCAAATACTGCCAACTGTGCCTGCTATCATGAAATGAAACATAATCAGTAACAATTTTTTACAGCTCTGTATGTGTCTCCATGCAAAAGAAGGGAAATTCATCACTCGGTCTTGAATTTTCGTTTTTTAATAGTCAAAATTCCTTAGAGATTTACCCAAAAAAAAGACAGAATGGGCTCTGGAACATCTTGTATCTCTTCATCTTTTTACTTCAACACTTAAGTCTTTCTTCTAGTATAATTAGATTTAAAGATGAAATTTAATGTACCTCTTTGACTTCTGGATGTTTTCTCTTGCTTTCTGCCGATAAGGTGCGAAGGTCATTTTGCATGCTATCCAAGAGCTTTTTCGCTAGAGCAGCGTTGTTTAAATGTGATGCCATTTTGGCTGCTGTCCACCACACTTCAGTGATTTGAAATGTTCTAAAAGAAGGAATTCAGCCAGTATCTGAAAATGAGAGAAAAGAAAAGAACATGATGAAATAATAAAAATAAAAATAGCATTCATAGAGCGCACATCCTTACTCAACAGCAAGCTCTATGCGTTTACACTATATGAACTGACATATAATTCATGAGTCCCATGAGGAAGCTAATATTACTAATAATGTTTAGAAACATTAGAGGGTCTGTCAGACCACAGATCTTTCTGTCAAATCTAGGGATTTGCCCTACAAAAATCCAATAAATTATCATTATAACAATCAAACCAAAGCTGCTCTTAGTGCAATGAAAGTATAAAAGATAAAAAGGATGAAAAAAGATCAGAACAATAGTGAAACCCACATCTTATGCAATCCTATTCAACACAAATTTTGACATACTGTATTGGATAACTGGGGACATAAATAAACCCCCCCCCCCTCCACCCCTTCAATTAAAATAATTAATTTACGCCTGCCATATTAACAAAATTGTCATCAAGAAATCTGTTTAAAAGTGGTTTAACAAGAAAGCAGACATGAAAAAAAAGATGTAAATAAAACCAACAGAAAATGTATGTGAAAGAAAATTTGGTGAAAGTTCAGCTTTTCCAAATACAGCTCATCTTAAAGTGACCTAGATTTATTCACAACATTTTACACAATTCTTCATAATTGTCTTTTCATGGGGTTTCGTTGTATTCACATTTAACTGAAAAATCCTGCAAAAGCATAGAACGCCAACATGATATTTTATAATATCATATCAAAATCAGTTAAGATTTTTAAAATTCAGATTTAGCATACTTATTTAGCATTTTTAGAATAAATTAATATCATCAGCATCATTCCACTAGCACCTAAGTGATTTTTTTTAAAGATGTAAGTTTTAATGAAAAAAGAGAGCCCGAATTAGAAAAAAATATGAGTGTGTGCCTGGTGAAAGGTACCATATGACGCATTTTGAAGAAGTACATTTTTTAATTGCATTTTATGGTACAAAAAACATTCCTGAACTTGCATTTTAGATTTTTAAGACAGCTTCAGTACTTGTGAGATCAGGTTCATATTGTACGGTAGGGTGCCAAAACAATTTTGAAAAAAAGGGCTTTATTTTCCCTTTGAAATGGATCGAGTTCTAGAGATACTCCTAATGAGTATCAATTAATTGGCCAGCCATCATGTTTGTTTGTCTTTGAAATCTTTGAAAACACTGTTACTAAGTTACACAAAGTGCAACTTTTAAAAAGTAGTGTAAGGCAATTAAACAGTGTCAAAGTGTTATTAAAACATTTTAAAGCATTAAATATTCAGTCAATTAGAACTAGAAATTTTGCAAAATTGACTTGGCTTCGCTCATTAAGTGTGGGTGGGTAGGTGTGCAAAGCCTTCTTCCTTGACTATGTCAGTGTATTCATAATTTATGCGCCTATAAACCACTTGAAAGGAAACAAGCTGAACTAAATTTTTATATGCAGCGATGTTAAAGGGTTGATTTTTCTAAGAATGAGTCGTAGAAATCTTCGTCAATGACAATGCTTGAAGCATCAAAGAGTAGCTATAAAATTCCTTTGCCTTGCTCATGAAATGAAACAAGGTACAAATGCACAAAACCTGCCATCCCGTACTGTTTTGTTACACTCATATGTGCCCTTCCCAGATCGAGTTAGGTAACCAGCTAATCTAAATTTGGGTATGCAGTGCGATGGGTTTCTTTAAAGAGAATGAATGAGTCGTAGAAACCTTCCGCAAATAGCAAATATGTTCTCATATATAATCTGTTATTTCGAAAAATGACAGTGTCAAAAATCTTCCTTAAAAATGCATTATAATTGGCGTAGAATAAACACAAAGCCTTGTAAATATCAGGAGATAAAAGGCTACAGAATACGCTTATGGAACTCAATTTTTGTTTTAAAAATCAATTTTCGACCTTCATTGCCCTGTTTCTCAGTTCGAGCAAATACGTCTTATAGTACCTTTTATCAGGCACGCACACGTATGACTTAAAACTTCCTAAAAAATACATCATTAGCATCTACGTTGGATAAATACAAAGCCTTGTAAATATCGGTAGGCCAAGATAAATGGTTAAAGAATAAGTTTTTAATGGAACTCAATTTTTTTTTTTAAATCAATTTTTGACCTTTAATGCCCTACTTCTCAGTTCCAGCAAATGCGCCATATAGTACCTTTCATCGGGCAGACATACATATGACTTTAAAAGCACTTGTTATTTTTCTTTTAAGAACTAAGAATAAAATAACAAAACAGAACGAAACTATAGCAAAATGCCCCTTGATGTCTTTAGTCAAGTAACAGCTTTGTCTAAACATCCCCAGCAATTCATTTAGGTGATATGGAAAGGAGGCTATCAAATGTTAGTAAGTCTCAGCAGCTAGATTAGGCTTTGACCTCTGTTAATTATTTCTGTAATGAGAACCAGGCCTATTTGAAGAAACGCAATCATGCCAAAAGTAGATGCATTCAATTTTAATTTTTGCGCACCTATAGACCACCATGAAGGTCAACTGGTGTATATTTAAGATTA